TATATACTGTGACTCAGATCCAGAAAAAGTTTTTGCTTGCGCGATCTGACCAATACTATATACTGTATCTCATCTGAGAAGAAAGCAAACTAACATATATATATACAAATAAAGAAATAATACAAAACACCACGAGCGAAATAAAAAGAGAACTACATAAAGGAATGAACTGTAAATATTGTGGTGGTTGTGAGTGGGGGAGAGTGGGAGACATAAACCGCTCAAGGACAGGTGTCAGACGATGCGAAACCACACTCAAAAAATTGAACATTTTTAAGAAGAAAAAATACACCAATTGCGAATGGGGTGGAACACAGAGAATAAACCATTTACTGCAATGTTCCTGATGGCCTCTTCTTGTGAAAAAAACGACTTCCACCAGGAAAACGACAAAACGCAGCAGCAGTCAAGGCTTTTCGAATGACTATGAGAAAGAAAAAAGATGATCACGGCCAATCCCGTTCAAACATTATAGATATCACGCTGACAATATTGTATAGTACACGGCAATGAAGAGCCACTTAATTGACCGTTACGCGAAAACAGTTAATTTTTGTAGTTTTATTTCTTTTTTGTTACCTGCGGGTGGGGTTTAATTTAATTCCAGAGACGTATTATAATGCAATCCTGTACATACGCCTACATTTTCATTTTTACTAAGATTTCCGGAAATTGCTCACTTCCAAGCGCTACGACGGAAATTACAAAAAATATATTATTTCTCATTGTGTACCTACTACTCTTTTTTTTCTCTCTATACCATATCCATCGAATCGTACCACGACGGTATCTCTGTGTTTGTGTCGTCACTGGGTATATATACTATTACACTACGTATAGTGTATACATATATATAATATTATATACATTACAATATATACATTATACATATAGCATTGTGCCTTTATATATTATTATACACCGTTCCATGAATTCGTGTTCCCGTCATAAATAATATTAAATTATATAACCATGATTCTCATTTTATAGGACCACCCGGAATACTAAAACAGGTTTTGATTGAAGCTTATACAACCTATCTGAAATTCCGAAAATACAATGAAACTTTAATTAATATCATGGATAGTAACACCAATTATTTTAAAAGATATCGGATAAACATTATCTTATATTATTTTACTGTCATTACTTTAAACTATGATTTTGTACAACGAGATGGTTGAATAAAGAATGTACACACAGTCGTTTTCTTGCAGTATTATATTTTGCATATGTACAATAATAGTATAAAATATTAAAATATATAACTACGAATGAATTCATTAAAATGTAAATTATCCAATCAGTTTAAAAATCAGCATTTATTAAACATTGTTTTTAAGCAACAATCATTGTTAGTTGAATTATGTTATAATTGTTCAAGATTTGAAAAAATCATATTTTTTTAGCATGACAGCTCATGTTTATCCGAATTATTTCTACACGATTTCATGATATCTCTAAAAATATTTCTACAGTTTAATTTTTAAGCCTTCAAAATAATCCCAAACAAAAAGTTTAACAATTTTAGGTCGTTAGAATTCCAACACACTTATACATGATATATCAAATTTAATTAACTTTATGTGTATGCTACTAATAATTAGATAACTTATTTTATGAATATATTTTGGAAGTGATGTGCTTTTAAAATAAAACTTAAGAATAACTTAAAATTAGCTTATCTGATTATATTTACATCGACGTGTCAACAGTACATACTACACAATAAATAAATAATATAAGTCTTTTAGTTTTCTGGTTATTTTAGAAATTTTAATATAAAATACAATTTTAATTTTATTGAAATTAGCGATTACAATCTGGAAAATGCCTTAAATATTATGTAAGTGGATTTTTCTCACGCACATCTCTATAATAATACAAAAGTCTTTTCGCCTTGACTAAGTTTTGAATTACCATTTTTACGATTGGTTGCACAAAAAGCTCACAAATGGCCTTCAAAGTTCGATATAATAAAAAGCAATACAATACTCGTATCGTTAGATTTAACCTTATAGAAGCAACGTGGAACGTTTTATCTTTATATATATAATCCGTAGACTTATGAATATCGTATTACAGATAATTACAAAGCCGTGACATACTTATACATTATAATATAGCGATCATCGAGTTGTATGCATCGATGAATATTTCAAAGACATAATCATATTTTATTTATAGAAAAATGTTGTAAAGTAAACTACCCATTGTATCAGTATGACGAACAGTTTTCATAATGAAAAATAACACTTTATAATATATATTTTAATACACATTAAATTGTTATCGTATTAGTCTGCGTAGTAAAATCTCTTTGGTATAGAATTTAGATACGACTAACGGTGTAGGTGATATACTAATTTTCACGGGTAGTTACCCAATTTTTTTTGATATTATTAAACTTCTTCCTAACAAACTTTAAACGTACTAGATACGATGAAACAATACGAAGCATTACCATACTATATGTTCTTAGTTGAACAAACCAGGTCCATTCTAGGGAAAATATTCGTCTTTGGTGAATGTTGTTTTAACCAAACAATGGACATACTTGGATGACTTTAAACATTCAGGTTATACTGATATCGAATAATTTACAAAGCACCCAAAAACTTCCATTAGATTCCGTAACATGACAACGGCTCCAAATTCATTTGCACGTTAATTTATTCGTCAGTTTATTTGTCCAACGAATGCGACGCATGCCAGATGGCCAATACTTCAATATCCCTCATAATTACATTTAAAATTCAATTTAGGTATTTATAATAAAATATATTTTTTAAATTGTTTTTTTCGTTTCAAAAATAAGAAATACTTACAATCGTAATCTTTTTTATATAATAAGTTAGATAAATTGTTGGCTTAGCAGAATACTATTTTTAATTATACGGTACATTAAACATAATTAAGCGATAAAAAAAAAAAAACATGAGTATACATGAGGAATACCAATTTGTGAACCCTCTAAGTTATATAATTATGTTTGTTTCTAGATTTTATTTTCAAAAACTTGAAGAAATAAATTGTTTTTATAAACAGGTTAAATATATATATATATATATATATATATACCTATTTATAATACAATATAATATGTTTGTAATATTGTGTGCAGTGCCTACAAAATATGGCTTCTGAGAAGTTATGTTAGTGTAACTAACAGTATATTTAATAAACATCTCGAGTAAAATCACAAGAGTTATATTTTTAAACTTAAATGAGTTCCTTTGAATTTATCCATATTTTAAAACAGTTCAACTCTATCCTACTCATAGTTTTCCCTCGATTATTTTGTCCTATACCTGTTGTAGGCAAATATTATGCTCAACCGAAACATTTAACATATAAATATTCAATATATTTATAAATCCACAACGATATATTTTTTTTCACTTTTTTCCTTTTGATAATATTATCCACCAAGTTTATATTTTAGACATTAATTACCATTGTGCAATCTGTCTTATACTCTCAGTAGTTGTTTATTTGTATACATGTTTAATAATAGCCCTACATTATACAAACATTGATTTCAAAAAAAAAAAAAAAAAATACACGTGTTACGAACGAAACCAAGATGAAATAAATTTCAGAAGACGGTTAAAATATTCTTATTAGGAGTACAGATGTATGGCTCACTGATAATGCATTTGCGTAAACGATTCAGACATTTTATTTACTTTGATTATTTGGCTAAGACGACAACAAGCAATATAAATGGTAAGAAATCGAATTTTGCGTACTGGTTTAATTTTGTATATTAAGAACCTGGCGGAGATCCAACGGAACATTAAATATCGAATCGTTATTTTTATGTTTTTCTTATTTTGATATAAAATATTTACGATAAAAACGGGAATCGAGTACCTACCTACACATAATAAAATATTATATTCGCAGGCTTATTATGTTATATACTTATATATTATGGCTTATTTGCACGCGACGACCAGTCGACCAGACACAATAAGTGGGATATCGAGTGAGATACACTCGAGTTGTATACACCTGAGAAAAAACTTCCCGCGCAGTAACGTTTAGACGTCAAGTGATGGTATTTTTTTTTTTCTGAAAATTTGGTCCAACACCTCATTTGGCGTGTGCTTTTTTTAGGTGAAGGTCGTGTGTGAAATTTGCGTGAAATTCACTGTGACAAATCGTTTGGCGCCTCGTGTGGTACATTTAGCAGACATATGGACTCGGTGAGGGGGGGGGAGAATGTTTAGCTAATTCTGATGTCTGACTCATTACGACTACAATAAATTAACGTCAACCCCTCCGCTGGCGTCTACCCCTGGCAGGGTGACCATATCGGATGACATTGTCAAAACAGAGCACCGGTCATAATTTACGACACTTGGCCTAATTGGAATAGCGAAGAGGCGGAATGGTCGCTAGACAATATTGTTATTATTATCATTGCAGCTGCAGTGATTGTTCTTATTTTATTTTTGGAAGCGAGTTATTGTGTAACCATGTTACAAGTCTCCGCGTTCGACTCTTGATGGTGTACACAGTGTAGGGGGAGTTGCACAATGTGCCACGACTACTATCCACTCGTGAAAAACCCATATCGGACAATTAAATTATAGTCAAATAACGGTGTTCATTTTATAGTTCTGCTTACTCTATTAATAAACAATATTTGTAAACACATTAGTTACTTATAGTTGCGATAGTTCTCAGTAAACATTAATACTGATTTTACATAATATCTGCAGTCTTATCACTTATACTGTTTTTACATTAGTTTCTGTATGGTAAATCACATCGTCGACGTTACTTTGCCGCTAAAATGTACCCAAGTCACTTATTTGTCTCTACCAACCCATATTTCTATTAAAAATACGTCGAAGGTCATGAGCAATGTTTACATTACAATGTATACATTTTATATAACATATACAATTTGCTGAACCACGATCACCCATTATTGGAGTCATCCCCTCACCAACCAAAAAAAAAAAAAATAATATTATAATGATACTAACCTTTGTGGTGCCGAGCAATCAACGCTCGACCTTCAACACGAGTGACGATTTTAGTGTGCGTGTATGTATGTGTAGGTATGTGTAATCAGTCGAATCGTCACTGCAGGTAAACACGCAAGTCACCCGGCAATCGGGCCGAACTCAGTGGCAGAGCAGAGTACATCCAGAGTACCTCCTCCTCCTCCTGCTGCTGCTATTTTAACTATTCCACCGATAGCTGATGATACTACTACCGCGGTTACGTCTACAGCTACCAACGGACGACGGTACCCGACCGGACGGCGGTGGACACCGTGACCGTGGCGGCGTACGGCCAGCATCGTATCGTATATATTATTGTCGTTATCGCTGTTGTTATAATTATTGTTCTTATTACATACGTTATCGGCGTTCAACGTGACACGGACGGCCAGGTGATCACAAGCATAATATTATTATTAGTATCGCATTGCACGTATATAAGGTTATAATATTGTATTATACGGAACAATCATGATATCATCGGGTACGCATGGCCTAGAAGAGATGAGTATTTTGTCCAACGAACGGACATGATGGTGTACACGGCGTAACGAGTGAACTACGATATAGGTGTAATAATACCTATCGTGTTATCAATAATACTACCTATAAATAGACCACGGCGATTGTACTCGCGCACAATAATTACTATACGGGCGGCGGGACGGTCGTCGTGCTCCGGTTGCGGAAGTCGACTTCCGATTCGACTAAGACGACCGTGGCAGCGGCGGCGGCAACGACGGCGACGGCGAGGCGCACACTACCGCACGGCTGTTCGGCTGAACGCGAACTAATACCATAACTATACGCGTTATACGCGCCGCACGGGAAGCACGGAGTCCGTGTGTGTGTGTGTGTGTGTGTGTGTGTATCGGTGTGTGCCAGCGTAAGTACGTGGCAGTGTGTGTGTGCGCGCGTAAGTTTGTATGTGTGTGAGTAAGTTTGTACATGTGTGAGTAAGTTTTTATGTGTGTGTAAGTTTGTGTGAGTGCGTAGAGTCCCTGTGTGGACGTGACCGCGACACCAAACACACACACACACACACACGCGCGCGCACGCGCGCGCGCACTCACACACAGGCACATACATACACACTCGCGCACGCGCAATCGTCTCACGGTCGCGCAAGCTCAGTGAACGCCTTCACCACCAGTAGCGGCGCGAGGCGGTTACGGGGTGGTGTTCGGGGAGGGGAGGGGCTCTCCTCGTGTTCAGAAGCGACCGCCACCGTCACCCCCAACGCGCCGCATACCCGCGCCCCGTACCCTCGCCGCGTACAAATATTTTTAAACACCGTCCGTACCCGCCGCCGCCGCCGCCGCCGCCGCCCTAAACCCGACCTATATGACTCGCACTGTGAAAAACAAAACAAACAGATGATAATAATAAACAAATAAAAAATTTACAGTTTCCCGGCGGTGCATAGTTACAGTCGTCGTAGTCGTCGTCTTAGTGTCAACTCGCTGTAGCTACCTCTTTCCCATCGTCCGCTATCGGGCTTGTTTATGGCGTTAATATTGTCCATCACTCGATCGTTGGGTACGACAAAAACGCAGAGGATATCGCAATCACTGGCGCGACGCATCCCATCCGAACGCGGTATAAAGTGGATACCTACCTATATGAGGAGCAACAATGTTTCTTACCAAATGTTTATTCGTGACAATGGCAATAACGAACCGTTTCGTGTACAACTGCAATGATTTGCCACGGTACCACGTCGTAATAATGATATCCACGTGTTTATAGTTATTTCAACTGTAAACGCTTTATAATTTCCGGAAGTATGTTCTAATAATATTATGGTAACAATGTGTCGTCAAACCACCTCTTTATGCAGCATTTTCGTGTTAAACCGATGTAAAAGAAAGTAATTTATTCGCTCGCAACCGTCATACTAATATAATAATATACGGGTAAATTATTTTCATAGCATAACGCACTTGTTGCTAAACATAATAAAAATAACGACAATAATAGCGAAAACTTATCATTACGTAGGGACAGGAATCAAAAGAACGGTATAAGTTATAGGATGTGCATGTATAGTACAAGTTCGTTTTGTCTGGCTAAAGCGAGTTTCTCCTCTAGACGACCCTTCGTTCACCACCCGTTGCCGACAATAAGGAAGAAAAAAGAGAAGAATACAAGGGGTAGGAACACCGACGATCATTAACTGAATGACGTTCGTGTATTATGTGTTGGAAAGGATATTCACTTCCTTTTAACGCTCACTATACATACCCAGCCAAAACCACAAATGTGACCAGATGATAGCTAGAAAACATCAAACATAGTGAGTGTATATGCAATTTTAGAAAACAGAACTTTTACGATATTATCTATGTAATTATTTTACTTAAAGATTTCATAAAAATCATGAACATGCACAACTTACTTACAACCAAATTATTATTCTGTTATTATAACATTTTAGTATTTATTTTTACTATTCCATAAAATGAATAATTATCGTGATATTACAAAACGAATCATAATATCACATTTCTGATAAATTAATAAAAAAAACTTCTTTCTAGTTATTGGAACACATCATGCAATGTTTTTAATTTATTTGGTCAGCGTCGAAGAAAAATATTTAAACTAACTTTCAAATGTTGGATGTGCAAATTTAGAAAGACTTATTAAATTTCGACTTAAGAAATATAATTTTATGATAGCAAACTTTCAAACAAAAGTGTTCACCCAGCCGTATAAAACGGCTAAATATGGAGTTTGGGGGTTGTTATCAAATAGTGTTGCCAAAAACACAACAAAACAGAATAAGTACACACGATAACAGCTTCTAAAGTGAACAGTCATGTCATGGACGACAAATCCAAATGAAAAAACAATAACCCCCCTTCCTCCAGGATCAACGATCCGACGCAAGTGGAAAATATAATATGCTTGAGATGCGGCTTTTACAGCAAACATTGTTTTAAGTAGAATAATTTCGAATTAGGTCAACAAGTTTACTTAACGTAGTCGAGAAATTATTTGTAATGTTCTGTGTTTTATTTTACTTTGGGAAAAAAGTACATAAATATATACACTGAAATAACATGCAATAAATTTAAATAATACTCAAACCACTAATTTTTTTGCACCATAAACCACTTTGACAAATTAAAATATGTAACTAAAATAATAATAATAACAGAATAAATTGATATAGACTATGCCAAAATACTTTGTATGACATCTGATGTCATAAAAAAAAATCTAGCTTATAAAATAATCGCTTATTATAGTTATTATATTTTATGGGAATTCGGCTGTATAACTTATTACTTTAAATAAAAATATATAGCATTACAATTTCACGAACTCTACCAACTAAGAACGTTTCGGAAACATTTAAGCAATGAATCAAACAGCTTTCACTAGCGGAACGGTATACATTTTTTTTTATCGCAGACTGCTCATATTACGTGCATACGCATTTTTTCTTTTTATATCGCAATATTCTCCCCCAAAATTGTACAATACGCTATTGACATGAAAAGTGTATAAAATGTATCAATGAAAACTCGTTAAGAAATATTTTTTTTGCACTAGCGAATACGCCTACCATTTATATTTGTGAAATTGATTTAATATAATATTATTCTATTATATTATTATTTATGTCGATCATTATCAGCATATTTATTTATTATTTGCTGATCACTATGAGTACTTATACACACATATTTTATTTAGAGAATAACTTGCTTTTATATTACTGTATTTAATTATGTTTTTTTTTTATTTAACCATAATATCATCCTAGGTATAGTATTAAAATGAACATTAATAAATTAATACATACAATAAAGGGTCATTTTCTGAAATGAACTTTGCTTATCGCCTTATTGTTTATTGAAAATTATTCCATTGTTTAAAATAATAATAACGGATATTATATTTCAATTGTTGTTAAAAGACAACGATATTAATGTAATTATGTGAGTATAATATACCAATTGTAATATTTACAACTATTATATTTTAAGTATATTGTAACTTTTTTTTTTTCAAATTCACTGGGGTTGCAATTTAAAGTACACTATAGAATAAATTGTAAATTGTACATGGTAAATTAAATGAATAATAATTCTGACTGGGATTATGATAGTAATGTGTGAGGTTATGACATAATTTTATTTCATAAAAAATATTTACAAACAAACATTAAAATAATAAATTGAGTATCATGAAAGTTACGGTAAAATAGAGTTGGCTGAGTACACATTAAATTTAAATAGGTACTATGAATTTAAGAAGAATAAGATAAGGAAATTCGCGTTTAAATCATTTTATGTGAATGTCCACATAAACATAATAATATTATATTAATATTTGTATAGTATAATAATAATAAAAGTAATAATACTTTATAGTCTTATAATAAAAACAATAAAACATAAACTATAATAATATTTCAAGGTAAACTTATTTCACAGAGAAAAAGTCGATAAAATGTAATCCAAATAGTATTATTCAGTACCTATACATTTTTATATATGAAACATCACTGCAAGCAAATTTGAAATTCTCCAAAAAATAACTAAAAAATATTTAATATTTTGTCCAGAGTAATTTTAAAATAAAATGTGTGATGAAACAATATTTACCTACACGCACGATTTTAGTTTTTAATAATTATATTTTGATTTAAATTATTTTTTTTTTTGAAAGACAAATTCATTTTTTAGATTTTAATATTCAAAAAGGGGGAACTATGTGTCTATGTAACCTGTTAATTGTGCACCGAGTGTACCCCTTCATAGAATAAATCACTGTATTGTATAAACTAAATTTGAGTTCAATAATAAATCATTACATACGAAAAACAATCCTGAGAGAGAATGATCGGTAAATCCAATACCTATAACTTATTAGGCACTAAAATATAGTTCATGGTTTGTTATTTGATACTGTTATAACAAATATATTTACTTTTAATATGACAATGGTTTAATTAAATTTTAAGTATCAAAATCATTGCATTTATTATACTATTTATACTCGTATTATTTAATTTTGAGCCAATACTGTACAACGTTGTAAATAGGTTTAGAATATAAGTAGGCGCAATAGCTTATTATAAGATATAATAATATACATAACAGTTTCAAGTCTTTACAAATAATATTTTCGAATTTCAGCATAATAATTAAAACAACACTCCTAGTATCAAATTTTATCTAATTTTGGGCTGATCTACAAAACAAATTATGATTTCTTGGTTTCAAAATAAATTATTTATGAGGGACTTTGTATTAAATTTTCAAGCCTTAGCTATACAAATCACACATTTTATACATTCAAAAAATTTTATAAAAATTTTAACATCGAATACTTATAAAAAACAATAGTGATTTTACTCAATATTATGTGTATTTAATTTTTTTAGAAAGCTTTTAAAAAAAATTAAGAAGAACCTTAAATTACATTTTTAATATTTTTATCCTGTCAAAATAGTTTTAATAGTAAATGAAAAAAAACTAAAACTAAAATTTCACACGTCCATAAATAGATGAAAAAATCAAAATATTTTGAAAATTATACCATGTATAGAAATAAATATTTGATATTATTATTTGTTTATTTATATACATATTTTGTAAAAATTTCAAGAATCTACAGGTGTTCTTTTTTGAATTACAACATAATAAGAACAAAAATCGACTATGTTAAAAACTGATTGGGTTATGAAAAAATTCACATTTTTCCATAGTCTTCTATTCCTAATTATTATGAAAAGCATTGGGAATTTTTCGAATACA